ATTGGTCGCGCGTGTGGACAGTCGTGCAACTGAGTATATGATCGGGGATTCATATCTCTATGCGCGGATTGGTCAAGAATTGGACCGAAAATGAGCGCGAATGTTCGCCCAAGATGATCGTGTTGATTATTGTCGTGTATTCGAACGGTGACGTGGCCGCCCTCGCGCACGTCACCCAGCCGAAATTTTCGGGCGGAAAATCACACGCCACGTTTTTGCGGGAAGAGACACGAACGACGTAAGAAAAGCAGGGCTAAAAACCGGTTTTGGGTAATGTGCCGGATAAAAAAAAAGCCAGAGGAAACCTCTGGCAAGACCACTCGAGCAATTATCATCGAATTGTCCGACCACGGTAGCAATTCGAGGCCACGTGTGCAACGGCAAATCACCGTTTCCGGGTCTGGAGAAATTCTCTCGAGAGATGAGCTGAGCTGAAACAAGCACACAGCAGAGGTCAGCAAACCGACAGAAAAAAGCTGGTCAGCAGGCAGAGTGGCGAAATCGAGAGGGCGCTTTCGCCGGTCGCGCGCGGACTACCCTGCCAGCACGGCTGGGTTGGTCAGGACTCACGTCAGTCGCGCGCCAATGGCCGCACGGATTTCTGTTCGCCGACGAACAATGCGTGTCTGGCGACACGGAATTGCACCATCGCGAATGGTTGAAAATTGTTTCTGGCAACAAATTGGCGCTGCCGCAACGTGATTCGCTGCGCTTGGAACAGATTTGGCTTCAACACTCGCTGGGATTCTGTTACCATATGTTGCACCTTGAGCAATGGAGCTAGAGTTGACAGGCACTAAATAAAAACCTTAGTGGTTTAACTTGTCACAAAGCTAATCCCCTTACTACACGGAATTGGTGTAGTGCCCCCTACTCTGGATTGTTCACTAACACACCAAAATCGTATCAAGGACGGCCACACTGGCTATCCGTCAGAAGAGCACAAGCAGCGCCATCAGAGCTGCAAGGAGGGCAATCCCGTTGCTGAACAGAGCGTTTGCACCTGCACAACCCATGCAAATAAGGGTGCAAGAAGACAAGTACAGGGTTCAGGGTTAAAGGTTTTGAGGCAGGTTTAAGGTTGTGTGTGGATTCCATGTTGAGGTTACGTGAGGGTTCGAGGTTTGAGGTGAGGCTTGAGCACAAGTGTGTTCTTTGAATCACAACCCCCAACCAGCAATACCTACATACTGCAAGAAAAGAACGCCCAAAATTTCCCCAAAAAACTCACCCTTATCAACAGTGCCGTAAGCGGAGGTAGCGTCGAACGAGGTGAGCGAGGCCATGTTGCTGGGGAACACCACATCGGACACCAGGTTCACCGACACGTCAGACGACGACGTAGTCACGCCCAGAATCGTGTTCTTCGAGTACAGAGGCAGAACAATTGCCAGCACCGACACGGCTTTCGGCCCTCCTGCGCCACTTCCAGGCACAAGCGCTCCAGTGCCGCTTCCCGCGGGCGCGGGTGCCGCAGGCGCGGGGGCCGCAGGCGCGGGGGCCGCTGCCGGCGGCGTGTCAACGGTAGTGTCCGCGAACGGAGCGGGCGCAGGCGCGGAAGCAGGCGCGGCGCTGGAGGCGGGCGCGGGGGCAGCAACAGTGGCGGCGAGCTTGGCGGAACCGGTAGGAGGCTTGAGGAGGAAATCGGGGTCCGTTCCGGTGAGGTACCAGACGTCAGCTGCGGTGTCGCCGTAGAGCCAAATGTTCTGGTTCAGCAGCGAGCTGAAGCTGAACCGGCCGCTCTTGTACTGCGCAGAAAGGGGAGGGAGCGAGGGAGAATGGACGTGTGAAGAGACGATTCGGACAGTGAACGGCGCCCAATGTTCAGGGTTCTTTGGATTTCTATTTTGACTCGAAGCTTGTAAAGTGGGTTGTTTTTTAAAGTGGGGCCGCGTGGAGAAGGACTCACGGTGCTGTTCAGTTTCGCGTTGTCGAGGTACTCGCGAATCGCCAAGAACTTGGCGAGCCGCGACAGCGCGTTCCGTCCGCCACTGGACATGGAGTTAAGGGACCCCAGGGACCCGTTGGTCTTCACCAGCGTATCCAGCGCCTCGAGAAGCGGGTCCGACGCGATCGTCGCAGACGCGTTCGCGGCCTTGTATCCATTGAGCGCGGCAGTCCACGCAGCATCAATCGGCAGGAAGAGGGTTCCTCCAGCAATGTCCGTCGCCTTGTCGTATCCCGCAGCGAATTCCACCATTCCCGCGGAAATGTCCGCGGTAAAAGGGGACGTGTTCGTCTTGTTGCGGACCTGAGTCAGCACGAACGAGAGGGGAACTGCGTCCGCGAGACGCGGAAGGCTCGCCGTCAAGAACGACGCGGAGAGGAGCGCGGCGAAGGTGAGGACCACCCTCGACGAGGGGCTCGCACGGCGGGCCATGGCGATGGCGCTGGAAGTGAAAAGGTAAGCCTTTTCTTAGGCCGAGTGGCGTAGGAGCTGGCCTTTGTAGGCACAGCGGCTGGCGATTGCCACTGGAGACGATGCGAGGAGACTGGCTGCTGTGTGTATGAAAAATGGAGCAGCCAGAAAATCGGTGACCCCAGAAAATCCCGAGTGTGACTGTGCTGACAACAGAACGGGATGCGCAGGAGCTGAGTGGCGCAGGAGCTGGCCTTAGTAGGCACAGCGGCTGGCGATTGCCACTGGAGACGATCCGAGGAGACTGGCTGCTGTGTGTAAGAAAAATGGAGCAGCCAAAAAATCGGTGACCCCAGAAAATCCCGAGTGTGACTGTGCTGACAGGTAGTGTTTCATATCCGGGCAGAAAGACGACAGCCGGGGCATGAGAAAATAACGGTTCAGGGCCATCATGCGACTCGGATGCCATCAACAATACCCGAAACCCACCAAGTGTTTCTTCTCATGATCTTATGTTTAATCGACACAATAATGACACGACGGCTGTTATGTATGTCTTCCGACACAAACTGCTGTCCCAGCGAGCGACTGGTTTGCAGCACAATAGTCCCTTCATTCCGAAAGGCTTCAATGCAACAATAGGGTGCATTGGGGTAAGGAGCAGCCCCGATGTGTGGTACTGTGACAGACACTGCCATCAACAGCTTTCCGTGCTTATTTTCACGGGCAGATTGAATAAGGCAGCGCCATCAATTATTTTTTAGCCGTTGCCTGCAATACCTTCCCGAAGGAGGATGTGCTGATGGTTGAGTTGGTTGGGCGGCTGGTTACCACGTAACTCCCTATCAAACATCGAATCGGGCCGAGGCGCGCCAAATGGGCGCGGCGGATGCACGGGAAGTGACTTGCGCGGGAAACAAATGAGAGTGAGGCTAGGTGGAGGGGCAGAACTTTCTTGTAATGTCGGTGAAGTGTGGGCCAATCAAACATCACATTCACTGCTCAATGTTGCTATCAAAAAGTTTCGCAATGCGTTCCCATTGCAGATAAATGCGTTTTATAAATTAGTATGTGCTGCACAAGTCTAGACAGGCTATCCTAGGAATGTACTAGTATGTTTGATGGAACAAGCACACCGTTATTTGCCTGTGTTAACATGTAAGGAATGATCATTCCACCACTTGTCTTAAAGCCGTTGGCTCAAATTGCACAGGTTATAAAAAGATGACGGGGGGGGGTTTAACAGGTTTGGGTTTTGGCGAGTGTTTCTGATTTCGTCAAAGTCGCTTTTTTCGCCAAACCCACCGAGCCCCTCGTTTTTTCCCTGGTGTGTGTGATTGACTTCGAAAGTCCCAAATTGCAACTGCTCAGCTTTTCAAAGCTTGCACAGGGCACTTCGTCAAGTTTTAAAAACTTGACCCGCGCAGTCCGCAATTTGGGCCGCGGGTTTTAAGCATTATTTCTCGTGTTTTATTTTTTATTGAACATCGTTTCAGGTGCATAGTACAGTAACACCATAATCTGCAAGTGCGGTTAATTAGCAACCACAAAACACGCAGCGGAAGGCTTCACTCATCCGCAATCGTGAGTGGGCTGCAGTGGTAGTGCTCTACAGGGTTAAGCTACCTGGTACCGTAGGTGAACACCACAGTCCCTCTCTGTTCACATACCCCGTTCCTTCCTGCTTGTGCTTCGCCTCTGAAGGGTTCAGATTGCCAACACGCTGCACAGAATCTCCCTTGTCCATTCTTCACCCTCCCAAACTTCACCCTCCTCTTCCTATCTTCCACTCTCCAACTGCAACACCACCACCACATGAACCACTTTCAACCCCTTTACAGCGCCTTCTTTCTACATTTCATGGAGATACTGGTGCAAACACACAAGCAGTGACGGGCACAAGAAGGCAGGGCAGGACTGCAGAAGCATGAAGTCACCTGGCATGGTATGGCATGACATGAGAGTTGCTTCCATGCCATGGGATGTCGGTGAATCGAATTTATGTATGACATGTCTCAACAATAAAATCATGAAATAGGGCGGGGGGGAGTTGCTCTCATGCCACGTAATGCTGGTGATTTAAAATGAGCTCTTTGCCTCAACTGCTCACTGCACCTTCTTCCACCACCAACACGGAATGCCACCACTGCTGCTGCCGCCGCCGCCGCCGCCGCTACCGCCGCCGCTAGCGCCGCCGCTGCAGCTGCCACGGCTGCTGCTGCAGCTGCTTCTGTTGCCTCCGGTACTGTTGCTACCAGCCCTCAGGTAATAATGGGGGAGCGAGCGGGTGACTCGACACAGGGGGGACGTGAAACTAACGTTTCCTGTTCCCCCAGTTGTTGCAGCAGCTGCTACCGTGGGAGTGAGCAGAGAGGCGATAAAATAGGAGAGAGGCAGCAGGGTGGGGCTGGAAGGCTGTAGAGGCGTGAAGCTGGAGAGGAGGAGAGAGGGGTGAGGGTGTGCTGGTGAGTGGTGGGTGGGGGAACTGGTGTTGCTGCCTTGAGTTGGCTGTCAAGGGAGGTGGTGAGGGGTCAGGGTCAGGATGGCAATTGAGCGTAGTGGAGTTAATGGCACGCGTGGTGGAGGAGGATGGACCTATCAGAGATGAGACGCGGATGTGAGTGTAGGCAGTTGTCAGGGATCAACGAGATGTGCTGTGGTTGGGGTATGGGGGCGGGGACGCAAGGACACAGAGGCATAAGCGTTATTCACTGCAGTCCTCTCCTCTTCTCACTACATCTCTTCGCGATTCTTCATTCGGGACTATTGTGGATCATTTGCGGAGCAATGAGGGCCTTTTGCTCATCATGTGTGAGGGGGCTGGGCAGGGCACTGCTGGGCATGCAAATTCAGGGCTTACAGCCGCTTTCTCACGCCAACCACACTGGGAAGAGCAGCTTGCAAACAGCTGCTTACAAAGAGCTGCATGCACTCTCTGTTGAGCATACATGTAACGCGCCCACTGTGACTAACTCTCCCACTCACCCAGCCAATGAGTGAGTGGCATCAGCCTCACGAGCAAGCACCCGGCGTCCATCCTGTGAGCGCCCTCCCTCACTCACTCACTCACTACCTACCTACCTACCCACGATGCTTCTCTTGCCTCTCATCTCAACGGCGCACCACTCCTCTCCTCACCCCACCTCGCTTCTCCTCACCTCACTCTACCTCTCTTCTTTTCACCTCCCCTCAAGTTACCTTAACCTCCCCTCACCTTACCTCATCCTCTACTCTTATCTCCCCACCTCACTCTATCTTTACCTCACGAACCCACGGCCCCCCACTGGGCACTCTTGTTTCACCCCACCGTCCATTGCTCCCATCGTTTTTTCTCTACCTCCCTTTCTCTGTCACTCCTGTTCCTTCAGTGCCCTCCATTCCTATTTCATCCATTTCTTCTGTTCCATACGTCCCCTCCCTTTTCTCTGTTCCGCTCTGGTTAAGGGAGGGGTGGCGGGGGGGTTGGGGGAGGGGTGGTGTGCCGCACGGTGGCATACCTCGCTTGACAGCACTTCAGGGAGTGCTCTTATCGAGTGTCATTGTAACGAACCCGGCGGAAGCACGGAACCCGTCCCAACCATCCCCGCAATCCCCCCATCCGCTCCGCCAGACAGCTCCACCGCCGCCGCCGCCGCAGCGGCGCTCATACTCCCCGCACCCCCTCCGCCTCCGCCTCCCGCGCCCGCTCCGCTCCCGCTTCCCCCTCCGCCGCCCGCGAGCCTGGCGACTTCTAGCTGCACCTTCATGCGCCGCACTTCCATCTCGCGACTGAACTCGAGTCGCAGTCGTTCCATTTCGACCATCTGCTCCACCTTAGCGCGCTCCACGCGCTCGTACACCGACGCGAACTCGCGCACCGCCAGCGCCAGGTCCTTAACCGCCGCGGACGACGCCTTCCGCTTCAGCTTCGCCGCCGACGGCCGCAGCGCGCCGTTCGCGCCGCCTGCTCCTCCCGCCCCCGCGGCTCCCCCCGGCGACGTGAAGTTTCCGCTTGCGCCGCCGTTGATCCCCCCCGCGCCGATCCCCCCCGCCGCCGCCATCCCGTACGCTTGCGTCTGTTGCGCGTGTTGATGCGGGGAGGCGCCCAGCCCTCCGCCGATGGGGCTGCCCAGTGCGGCCATCATTCCGCCCGGGGCCATTGGCATTCCCCCGATCATTCCCCCCGGCCCCATACCCCCGCCGGGGGAAGCGACGGTTTTCCCCATCAAGTGCTGCATGCGCGGGTCTAGCGGAAGGCTGAACGACCGCCGCTGCTTCATCAGCGAATCTTGCAGCAACGGCGGGTTGACCGCGCTGTTGCCGGCGGCGGCGGCGGCCGCGCCGCCCCTGCTGCCTTGCGCGCTCGTTCCGCCGTTCGCTCCGTCGCCTTCGTCGTCGTCTTCGTCGTCCTCGTCGTCGTCATCGTCATCGTCGTCGTCGCTCGCTTCAGTAACCACGTTGTCGCCTGCGATCGACCCCATTTTTCCGGGAAACACGCGCGACGATCCTAAAGCTGCGTTCGTCCCCAGAGCGACATTTGCGGCGGCGACGGCGGCGGAGACGAGCCCGTTATTCCCCATAGCAGCCCCCATGAGGCTCCCCATACCGCCGCCCATGACTCCTGGAAGCCCATTCACCATCCCGCCGCCAATCACGCCGCCCATCCCGCCGCTCATTCCGCCACTCATTCCGCCGCTCATTCCGCCGCTAATCGCGGCGTTGCCGTAAACAGCTCCGAAGGCGCCACCTGGCATTCTGCCATTGCTCGACGTGGCGCCCACGGTGGAGAATAAAGACGCGGAGCCGATGGGAGCAGGTCTACCCATGCTTCCTGTCCCGTGACTCGCGGAGCCGCCGCCTAAGAGGTAATCTACTCGGTCATACAGCCGCCATTCGCGCTTGACCGAGCCGCCCGCGGCAAGCTGGCACCGCACGGACTTGTACTTTTTTTTTATCGAGTCGATCTTATTCTTGCACTGTAGCCACGTCTTGGCATTCGCGTGGCCGAGCATCTCGCTAACGCGCTGCGCCACCTCCTCCCATTCGTGCTTCTTCAACTTGCCGCGACTTAAAGACAGGTGCTTTCGCGCCCAAACTTCCAACACCGCGTCGGTCGCCTCGTCCGTCCATTCCTCCCGCACCGCCGTCGAGTTCTTTTTATCCTCGGTATCCCCGCCTCCGCCATCCTGCGTCTGGGTTCCGCCGGAGGCCGCGGGACTGCTCTGCGGGCTGCTACTGGCGGGGCCGTCCCCACCGTCACCATCCGCATCTGTGGGAGAGGTCTCCCTCTCCGCGCGAGCCCCGCTCCCGTCCGCGGGTTCCCGAGCGCCGCCGGGGGACGGCGCGGAGAGCGCACTTGTGAAGTGCTGCGCGACGGCTCCGCCTCCGCCTCCGCCTTCGCCTCCGCCTGCATTGATCCCCGCGGGGTGTAGCGTAAGCAGCGGCGCTTCTGCCTTCCCCACCACGGGCTGCGTGAAACTGGGGAGCGGACCGTTGCTAGCAGTAGCGCCTGCTGTTGCTCCTGGTGCTGGTACAGCCGGTGCAGACTCAACAGCAGCCATGCTTGCTCGTCTTCGACGCGGTTAGCAGCAACGCATGCCAGCCGCCGCGCGCGTGTGTCACCAATGCTCCGCTGATCCTTTTACTGGAATTAACTTGCTAGCAGCTCGAAAGTACTGGACTTTCAGCGAGCGGCGAAATTAGAAGGGGCTGGCTTTCGAGTCGCGTCGCAGATATTCTGGCGGTTCACTTCGCGTGGTCTCAGTCGGCACTTGATTGGTTCGCTCGGACAATCAGCAACTGCGCGTATCACCACTGTGCGACCGCCATGACTGGACAAGTGAATCCTGTCAGAGCGAGTTGCGCAATTCGTTCCCGGTATTCAGTCGAGCAACTCACACTCCCTAGTTCATCTAGCCGTCGCTTCACTCGAGGTTGCCGATAAACGTCAGCTCTTGACAGTCGTCCCAAACCAACTACTGTACTTCCAAAAGAAGTCCATCCAGCCGTCTCTACTACGGCTCCCTCACACTACACGGCACGGCACTTCATAGTTTTTCCACAGCAGCAGCTCCACTCTCTAGCCCAGGTAAACATATATAACTTTTCCCTTAAGGTGCCCGTGGAGCTGTACACTGTACTGTAAACTGGGATATCCTTCCCCCACCCCCCCTCTGCCGTTGTTTACTACGTGGGCACTCCTCGATTTCTTCGTGCTCGTCACCTGTTCGTAACCTTGATTCTGCCCTCGGTCGTTAGCCGTCCGTCGACTCTGCCCGTAATTTCGTAAGCCGTCCGTTGGGCGGGGCGAATTATTTCGGGGGGCTTCACCCGGCTTTTTCTTTCTGAGCGGAACACCCGAGCACGATGCTGTCCGTCGACCAAACCCTTTGGGAAGCGGCAACAGGCGAAACACACTGTGCGAAATCCACCTGGCAGCCAACGACCGTCTGGATAAGCCCACTCTGGCAGCAGGAGAACCCTGAGCTTACAGATTGCTCTGCTAAGTGCTCTGGTTTTAGCGGCCGAACGGCAGCATTTAGCCACGTCCGTTGGAAAACTTGACGTGGCAGGGAAATTCCAAGAGAGATTTGCTCCAAACCCTTGTTTGAGGATTCGTTGTTGCACACGTGGCTACCATTTGCTCGAGTGGTTCTCAAATTCAGTGATAATTGCTCGAGTGGCCTCGCCAGGGGATTCTCAAAGTCTTTTTTAAAGAATGAACATTACCCTTCAGGGGTATCTATCCTCGAAACTTCTGTATTGGTTATTGCGCGATCTTTTATATCCGAAATATATGACCGCGCCTGATTGGACGCTTATATAATCGACCAATCCTGCGCGGCCATTAATGGTCGCGCGCATCATATTTTAATGCCCAATCATATATTTCCGCAGTTATAAACTGCAATGCCCTTAATGACCGCGCATGATTGGTCAATTATATGCACGGTGCCTTTTTTTGAACTGCGCGTCCAAACAGGCGCGGTCATATAGGGTCACGAACATAGATTTTGGATACTGAAGATCGCGCAGTAACCAGTACAGAAGTTTCGGGGATAGAAACCCGTCTAGGGTAATGTGACGGGTTAAAAAAAGCCAGTGGGAATCCACTGGCAAGGCCACTCGAGCAATTATCACTGAATTTGAGAACCACGCGAGCAAATGGTAGCCACGTGGGCAACGCTGAATCTCCAAACAAGGGTTTGGAGCAATTCTCTCAAATCCCAAGTAGCACCAGCTAGTGGCAGTTACCTGGCAGGTCGTTATTGACCAATGAGGAGACCCGGCCGTGAGGTCCATTTTCTTCAATTATCCTTTCAACATTTGTTTCAAAGCTGTACCAAAGTGTACTTGAAATAATAAAGATATCACAATGAAGCAGTTACGGTATGCATGCCCATTTATTTAAAAACATTAATCTCAGAACCATTCACAATAAAAATGTCAGAATTGGAGTTTGATACCCCCATGGCGACTGCGGAGGAGTCAGAGGCGGACGAAGAACCTCCCATGCAGCCTTCCCCATGCCCTCGTTTTCCGTGTGACACGTGTTTTCACACGTTCGCTACGCGAGGGGCTGCTGCGAACCACATGAGGGTATGCCGGGCGGCTGAGGCGGAGAGGCGCGCGCAGGCACTTGGCTCGACCCCGTCACTGGTGGAGACCGACACGCAGGAGCGACCGACGCCGCGGGAATTTGGGGACGAGGCGTGGGTCGGGGTTACGTCTTGGGAATGGGAAGCATTTTTCAGTGTGGAGGCGGTTGGAGGGAGGACAGTGCGCCGGATCCCACAGCGGGCTCGGTCGGGGGTCTTAGACGCGCTCTGTTGCGTCTTAAAGTGTTTGAAGAGCCGGCCGGGGGATGAAGCCGCTACCCTCCTACTCTTGGCTTTTCCGCGCCTCATCCTAGCCGTGCCTCCCAAGCCAGGCATAGGACAGAAGGCGCTGATCATAGAGCGGTTGGGGGCGTTTTGGGAGGGGAGGTGGCGGGAGCTGTTCGACTCCGCCATGGTGGCGGCGCGGCCAGCAGTACGCCCACTTGCCTACACTTGCTCTGACCAGGACCCGGATGCCATCCGCCTGTCACGGTGCCGATCTCGGTGTAAAGTGGGAGAGTGGAGCCGCGGATTGGCTTGCCTTACAGCAGGGGAGTTGGCCCGGCCGTCTGAGGCCATGGTGCAGTCGCTGCGAGAGAAGCACCCTGCTAGCACTAGCGAGGTACCACAGTGGGTCCGTGATTTCACCGTCGATGCTCCTCAGCGGCCTCCACTCACGGCCGACATCCTGGCCAGAACTATCCATACAGCCGCTCGCGCTTCAGCAACAAGGCCATCGGGGTGGATCACGGAGCATCTGCGCGACACCTTCCTCACTGAACCTTCCTGCCTTTCCCACCTGTTGGAGGTGTTCAACCAATGGGTGGCGGGACAGGTCCCCGAGCGGGCTCGGCCCTGGCTCGCCGCATCCAACCTAGTTGGGCTTTCCAAGCCTAACGGCGACGTCCGGCCGGTCGCGATTGGGGAAGTGCTTCCGCGTATCCTTGCTCGAGCTCTCTGCATCTTGCTCCGCCCTACGATGGCTTCCTACTTTCTGCCGTGCAACCAGCTGGGAGCGGGCACCAGGGCCGGGGTAGAGATTCTTACCCATTCTTTCCGGTCAGCGCTAGCTACTCACCCCGACTGGTGTGTGCTGCAGATAGATGTCGCGAACGCCTTCAATTCGTTTCACCGTCATGCGATGTTCGAGGGGCTGCGGGAGTCGCCTTTCTCAGGGTTGATCCCATTCTTACGTGTTTTCTACGGGACACCTAGCGATCTGTACCTCCGAGCGGGCCCTTTTGTACAGAGCCTTGAGTCGGCACGAGGATCGCGGCAGGGGGACCCGCTCGGCCCTTTTCTTTTCGCGTTCACGCAGCAGCAGGTGATGGAGTCGGTGACTAGAGAGTTCAGGGACCTACTTTTCCTGAGCTACGCAGATGATACCTATATCCTGGGACCGGCGGCTAGGATTCTAGAGGCGTTTGGGGTGCTGCGGGAGCGGTTGGAATGGGTGGGGCTGGAGGTGCAGGCGCACAAGTGCCGGTTTCGGGAGCGCGAGGGCGGGGATGTGGAGCTGGCACTGCCATTGGGGATGCAGCGGGTGGAGGAGGGTCTCACTGTGGTGGGCGTGCCTATTGGGGAGGAGGGTTGGGAGGTGACCCGGTTACGGGAGCGGCTTAGACAGTTGCAGGCGCCATTGCCATGGCTCCCCCTGCTCGACCACCCCCAGATGGCTTCACATCTCCTCGCCATTGCAGTTTCAGCACGGCCGATGTACCTGGCCCGGACTATACCGCCGCGTCCGGAGGTGGTGGAGGCCTTCAGGGATTGGGATAGCTGTCTGGAGGATTGCTTTGAGCAGCTTTTCCCACCTGGCACTTGGGAGCATGACCCCGACCGGTCTAGGCGCGCGCGCTTGCAGCTGCATCTCCCTGTGCGACTCGGAGGGTTTGGGATCCGGGCAGCAGCCTCTTTGAGTCCGCTGTCCTATGTTTGTGGGTGGGTGCAGGCCGCGCGTGATATTGCACAGTTGGGGGTGGCGGGCGAGGAGGCGATGTTTGCGGAGTACCTCACCACTTCGGCAGGGGCGGAGTTTCTTGACCCGTGGTTTGCCAAGGCTCTTGAGCAGCTGCCTGCGACTATACGCCAGGAGATGCCGGGCTTACCTCTGTGCGTAGCGGCCCCTCTTCTTCGGCTTTTCCAGGCGCGGCAGCGGTTGTTGGCGGTAGAGGAGCTCCAGACACTGCGTCGCTCGGCTCGTGACGATGCCACCCTGGCCCGTTTCACATCCCTTCAGGGCCCGGGGGCTGGTGCATCGGTTTCGGCGGTTCCGGCTCACTCAGATCTCACATTCACTGCGGCGGAGTGGGGCATTGCTGCTGCTATACGGCTCGGGCTCCCAATTCAGCAGCTGCAGGTGGCGGGGAGGTGTGTTTGTGGCACAGCATATGTTGACCCAGCAGACCCGCATCATGCCCTGAGATGGAAGCACCAGCATGGTCCATCTCGGGTACATGATGAGGTGAAGTTTGCGGTGGCGAAGATCTCTAAGGCGTCTGGGGGGGTGGTGACAATGGAGGATAGTGTGGTGCTGCAGGGGAAGCGGGTGTGAAAACAAAGAACGAGAATGGAATGACTATGAACGAAGTGAGTACAAATAGGAAACCCTAATTGGGTTGTACCCCCTATTGGATACCCCACTATAGCCTACAGAAACAAGTAAGCTATATGTTCTGACACACCCCCATAGGCAAAGTGGGGGAGAACAAGGGGTCACAAGACCAGTCACGCAAAGCAAAGCAAAGCTCAGGGTGGATCACAAAGTCACCACGCATTCCGAGCACAAGTTCAAAGGCCACAAGGCCAGTTCACATGCAAGATCATATATAGAGATATACAAGAGCAAGAGTATATATATGCGAAAGTACAAGCAAGGTCAAGAGGAGAGCAAGTGAGGCAAGACAGGCACAAGACCCAACTGCGTGCAGCAACGCTGATGATCACAAGGCGCAAGCGCCTTGGTGAAGACATCAGCAGTGTTGGCCTCAGAGGCCACGTACGCAAGTCGCAGCTGTCCACGCTGCTGTAGCTCACGAGCAAGAAAGTAGCGAAGAGCAATGTGCTTCGTTCTGTGCTCCAGTCGCTGCTCTCGACACAAGGCCAGCATGGCCTTGTTGTCTACGTACAGGACTGGAGGAGAACGAGGCTGCTCTCCAAGGTCGGTCAGCAGGTAGGTGAGCCAGCGTAACTCCTGTGCAGCCATAGCCCCAGCGTAGATCTCAGCCTCACAACTGGAGCCGAGAACAGAAGACGAGCGGGTAGCCCGCCACGAGACAGAGCCGGAACCAAGGCTGAAGGTGTAACCCTGTGACGACCGCTGCGTAGCCTGGTCGTCAGCCCAAGAAGCGTCTGCGTGCCCAGTGAGGACCACTGGACTGCGCCCTCCAAGCACTAGCCCCATGCCCGACGTACTGCACAAGTAGCGCAACACCCTCTTCGCTGCAGCCATGTGCTCTGGTCGGTGTCTCCCAGGAGCAACAAAGCGTGCGAGAATGCTAAGAGGGTATGCGAGGTCAGGTCGTGTGCAGGTCATCAGGTACATGAGGCAGCCAACAAGCTCTGCAAACGGGCCACTCGACTCTACGGACTCATCCGAAGGCAGAGCTGAGAGCGAGTGGCGAGTAGGCAGAGGAGTGGCCTGAGGCGAGGAGTACGTGAAGCCGAAGCGCTGAAGGACCTGCTGCACCATGTGTGACTGAGTCAGGGTAATGGTGCGGCGTGCTCTGTCCCGGGTGATCTGCAAGCCAAGGTAGCTGCGCAGTTCACCCAGGTCAGTGCACGTGTGTCTCTTCTGCAGCTCGGACTTCACGTAGGCGAGTCCAGCAGTGTCAGCTGTGGCAAAGACCAAGTCGTCGACGTACACGAGGATGCAGAACGGCGGCAGAGAGGTGTCGGTGCGCAGAAACAGCGACGGGTCGGCAGTGGAAGGAGCAAACCCAAGTGCCGCGAGCGTAGTCCTCAGTGTGTCGTGCCACTCACGTGGCGCCTGGCGGAGACCGTAGACTGGACGCCGGAGACTCCACTGGGTACCAGGAGGGAAAGACCCAGTGAAGCCAGGTGGGCGACGCAGCCAGATCTCCTCGTGCAGGCTGCCCTGCAAGAAAGCTGTGCTGAAGTCGAGAGAGTGGAGCTCGTAGTCACGGTGAGCAGCAACGTGCAGCAGAACCCGAAGAGTGGTCATCTTCGGGGTGGGGGAGAAGGTCTGAAAGTAGTCAACCCCCTGCCGCTGACTGAAGCCACGAGCCACGTAACGCGCCTTGAAGACAGGCGGAGAACCCGGCGGCCGCTTCACCCTGAAAATCCACATGCCACTGACGATGTTCGCCCCAGGAGGGGGAACAGCGTCAACGTAGGTGCCTGTGGACTTCCAGGAAGCCATCTCTGCATCCATAGCTGCCTGCCACTGAGAGGAGTAGGGACCCTCTATCGCCTCCGCGTAAGAGCGCGGAGTCGGGATGTCTGGTGCATCCGGGTCTCCCTCAGGGGCTAGCAGTACAGACGCGAGACGAGGTGAAGCGACGGCCAGACACTGGAACTCCTCCTGCCTGTCCTCAAGGACGTCCGTGCCAAGGGCACACTCACCCCCGACGGACGGAGGACAGGCGAACTCAGACTCAGTGACAAGACGAGCAGCGTAGTCTAGACGACAGCGCGCAGCAAAGTCGACAAGCTCAGTGACAAGGGCAGACGCAGCAGACGACTCGAAGGAAGGGTCAGTGACAGCAGTAGCAAGGAGACGCGTGACAGTAGGACTGGCAGCACGAAGAGCGTCCGACTCCGGGTCGGCAAGAGCAGGAAGAGAGGAAGCAGGAGGAGAAGGCAAAGGGGCACGCAGAGGAGCAGTGGACGGACGCAGTGACATCCGGTGCGTGCCAGGGACAGGAGGAGGACGCTGACGCGACCCGCGACCACTAGCGCGCTCAGTACGAACAGGCGACACAGGACGAGACGCAGGCTCACGACGCTCAGTAAGACCTCCAGTCGGACCAGCGTAGGGAGAAGGAGCAGGCAAAGGGGAGGCAGGCTGTAGCTGTGGCTGTGACCGGACAGGCTGCGGACCCTCTAAGGGAGGAGGAGGAGGTGTAAGACCAAGAACCTGCTGCAGGAGCGGAACGAAGTACGGTCGGGGCCGCGCGGCGACGCTAGAAACAGCAGGAACAGCACCAGCAGCCCCGGCAGGAGCACCCACTCCAGCAGCACCTCCAGCAGCACCACCAGAAGCTCCAGAACCTCCAGCCGCAGCACCAGGAGCACTGTCAGTCGGGCCGCCAACGGCAGGCTCAGCGCCAACACCCTCAGCAGGACCAGCTCCAGGAGAACTCTCAGACTCAGCAGCTCCAGCACCCACAGTACGAGCGCCGGCGGGGCGCGCAGCAGCAGTACCCTCTGCAGCCGAAGAACCACCAGCACCAGCAGCACGCCTCCAGCGCCCGGCAAACCACTCACGCAGCTCCTGTGGGGAGAGTGGCTCCCGGCGAGACGAAGCACCCCCAGGCACAGCACCTCCAGGCTCAGCACCCCTAGACACAGCACCCCCAGGCACGGCACCCCCAGGCTCAGCACCCCCAAGCTCAGCACCCCCAGGCTCAGCACCCCCAGGCTCAGCACCCCTAGACTCGGCACCTCCAGGCTCAGCATCCCCAGGCACAGCACCCCCAGGCTCAGCACCCCCAGGCTCAGCACCCCCAGACTCGGCACCTCCAGGCTCAGCACCCCCAGACTCCGCACCCCCAGGCTCAGCTCCCGCAGCAGCACCAGAGTCACCAGTGACCTCGACAGGCTCGACCGCGTCTACCTGGGACACACCTGAAGGGGCAGGACCCTGAGGGGGGAGGGGGACTACCGGGGGGGGACCTGGTACCAAGAAGAGCGGGGGTGGGGGGAGGGACGGAGTGCGGTAGGGGAAGAGGCGGTAGTAGGGTACCGACTCGTCGAACGTGACGTCCTGGGAGGACAGAACACGTCGAGAGGTGGGGCGGTAAAACTGCCACCCAGGGGCGTCGGGGGGGAACCCCAGGAAGACGCAGGGAGAAGCACGAGGGGACAGCTTGTCCGCAGACAGGTCGCGAACAAACGCCCGAGATCCCCAGACCCGGAACGCCGACGCATCGCCAACCTTCCCCGTCCACAGCAGGGCTGGGGAGGTCTCCGGTCGAGAGACCCTGGGGCGGAGGTTGATCTGGTGCGCAGCGTACCTGACCGCAAACGGCCACAGAAAATGGGGAGCAGCCGCATGCATCATGGACGTACGAGCGACGTCCATGACGATGCCAATGCGGCGCTCAGCAATCCCATTCTGCTGCGGTGAGTCCGGAAGCGTGAAGGTCTGGTGGATGCCTCGCGCACGACAGTAGGCACTCAGGAGGCCAGAGGAGAACTCTCCGCCTCTGTCCGAGTGCAGACGCAAAACAGGGAAGTCAGAGCCAAAGCTCCTCCGAAGCTGGAGACGAGCTGCGCGGATCCAGTCGATCAACACCGCAGTGACCTCACCCTTGCTGCGCAAGGGGAAGACTGTGGTGTAACGCGAGTAGTCGTCAACAACCAGCAGGAAGTAGCGCTCCTGACCCTGTCCACGGACGCGGGCTGGGCCCCACACATCCATGTGAAGCGTCTGCAACGGGGCCTCTGTCGGAGGAAACTGGGAGGAGTGAGGGGCAGCACGCTGGCGCCCCTCGACACAGGGGACACAGGTGGGGCCAGGGCCCGGAGGGAGGGAAGGGAGAGACCGGGGAAGACCAGACACAAGGACTCGCGAGGCCATGCCTCTGAGCCGAAGCAGAGAGGGGTGGCCAAGGCGGTGGTGCCAGAGGAGGGTCTCGTGAGACAGACGACGGCACGAGCAGGGGGCAGACTCAGGACCAGACCTGGACGCCGCAGCAAACACCTGACCAGACGAAGTGACCCTACCAGACTCAGCACCTGGAGGAGAAGCAGTGGTCAGAGTGTACAGGCTCGACCCTGGCCGACGTGTAAACGTAGCGAGGTGGCGACCTGTATCCGCCTCCGTGCAGTGGGTCACCCGCTGACGAGCAGGGGTGAACTGGTGGACACCCGCATCCTGGAGGTCAGCACCACTCACCAAGTTCGTCGAGAACGAGGGGAGGTAAAGACCAGTCAGGGTGCCAGAGGGGGCCGCCGGACACGGGAGGACAGTGGAGAAGCGAGACAGGACAGGCCCCCCAGAGGGGTCAGCCAGGGACACCGCAACCGGCCGACTCAGCGGCGTGAGAGTGGTGCGGTCCCGAAAGAAGGAGCGAGACGCTCCAGAGTCAAGGGTGAAGGTGTGAGAGGCCGAAGCCGACACAGTACCTGAGAGGGCAGACTCACCAGCACCTGAGAGCACAGACGCACTGGCACCTAGAGCAGCAGCCTCACTAGTACCTGACGCGGCAGTACCAATGCCCGGGTCGGGCGGGAAACACCGGTAACAGTCATCCTCATCACTACCAATCGCAGCATACATAGCAGAGAGAATAGCATCAAAATCAAGATCATAAATAGCTACACCAGCCCTAGACAGCTCTCCCCAGCGGGGGATCTCAGCTGCCTCCGGAAACTGCTGACGCCAGGCGTCAGTCAGGCGGCCAAAGCAGCGGCGGGCAGTGTGGGCGCCTCCACACCTCTCCCCTGCACGGTCACCGGTGCGGAGAACGTAGGGGCAAGGACCAAGCGCACCACCACGCTGACGCTGCGAGTACCACTCACGGAGCTGCTGAGGGGCGGGGACGGTGCGAGAGCGCTGCTGCTGCTGTGGCTGCTGCTGCGGCTGCTGCTGCTGCTGCTGCTGGCGCTGACCACCCCCGGAGCTGCTCCGCTGGGACGAGCCACTCCGACCCCCGCCTCCACTGCCACCCCCGCCTCCACCGCCACCCCCGTCTCCACCTCCACCTCCCCCACCAGGACCGTCGCTCCCACCGCTCCCACCGCCTCCTCCGCTACCACCTCCGCCGCCACCTCCGCCTCCACCGCCGCCACCAGTACCTCCACTCCCGCCACCACCCCCACCGCCACCTCCACTCCCCCCGCCACCCCCACCGCCTCCTCCACCGCCCCCTCTAGCTCCACCCGCTCCCTTGCCCCCCTTGCCCTTGCCAGCGCGGCGTCTGCCGCTGGGGGCAGACGCCGCGCCGACCGACTCAAAACCAGTGAGGTCGGCCGCAGCGGCAGAGGCGACAGAGGGCAGCAGGGGGGAAGGACCACACCCCTCAAAGATGGGGGTGCGAGGGTCACCCCGAGAGGCCCCTACAGCGACAATACTCTTCTCAGCCGCTAGCAGGGACTCCTCAAGGAGGTCGACAGTGAGAGTGGTGGGACAGACAGAGAGAAACTGGTCCCTAACGACACGAAGGGACTCAGGGAGACGGGTGACGAGAAAGTAGAGAGTGATGTACATGGGAGGAGGGTTCGCAGCGCGGAACTCAGCAGGAAGGGCAGCGCGGTAGCGGGTGTCACTAGCACGGAGGTGGGTAACGAGGTCAGCGACAGTGGGAAAGGAAGCGAGGTCAGGGAAGAGAAACGGTAGCATGAGGCGGCTAAGGGTAGCGGAGGAAGGGGAGGAGTAGCGTGCAACTACAGCGTCGTACAAGGCCTGAGCGGTCTTGCACTGACTAAAGTGGGCACGCTCAGAGGAAGGGAGGTGGCGACGCACAGCAAGACGTGCAGCAGCATCGCGGGTCGCCCACTTGGAGCGAACGGCAGAGTCAGCATCAGCAGGTGGGGCAGGGACAGCGCCAGAGACAAAGTCAAAGAGAGAGACCTCATCTATCGCATCACACAGTAAGTACAGCTGCAGGTCTTCAATCCAGACGGCAAAGTCAATGGCCCTCCCCTCAGCGTCAAAGGTAAGAACATTGGGGGTGGCCATGACAGCAGCTGAAAATCTCACCGGGCTGGGAGAGGCGGGTAGGTCAGCAGCAGAGGAACAGCAGCACGGCTCCGCAGGCGGCTCGGGCGGCGCGGGCGGCTCGGGCGGCGCGGGCGGCTCGGGCGGCGGCTCGGGCGGCGGCTCGGCGGCGGCTCGGCGGCGGCTCGGCGGCGGCTCGACTGCTGCTGGGCGGCGCGGGCGGCTCGGGCGTCACGGGCGGCTTGGCGGCGGCTCGGGCGGCACGGGCGGCTCGGCGGCGGCTCGGGCGGCGGCTCGGCGGCGGCTCGGCGGCGGCTCGGCGGCGGCTCGGCGGCGGCTCGGGCGGCGGCTCGGCGGCGGCTCGGCGGCGGCTCGGCGGCGGCTCGGCGGCGGCTCGGCGGCGGCTCAGGCGGCGGCGGCTGCTGCTGGGCGGATCGGCGGGGCCGCGTAGCAGAGTGGCGGCGGGGCCGCGTAGCAGAGGGCGGCGGGGCCGCGTAGTAGAGGGCGGCGGGGCCGCGTAGCAGAGGGCGGCGGGGGCCGCTAACGAAGAGAGCGGCGGGGCCGCGTAGGAGGGGGCGGCGGGGCCGCGTAGCAGAGGGCGGCGGGGCCGCGTAGCAGAGGGCGGCGGGGCCGCGTGGCAAAGGGCGGCGGGGCCGCGATCGAAGGGCGGCGGGGCCGCGTAGCAGAGGGCGGTGGGGCCGCGTAGCAGAGGACGGCGGGGCCGCGTAGCAGAGGGCGGCGGGGCCGCGATCGAAGGGCGGCGGCGGGGCCGCGTAGCAGAGGGCGGCGGGGCCGCGATCGAAGGGCGGCGGGGCCGCTAGGGAAGGGCGGCGGAGCCGCGAGGGGAAGGGCGGCGCAACGGTCCGCTAGGGGCGACACGACGGGTCGCTAAAAAAAAACGCGCCTCGGGGCGCGGTTCGGTGGGCCCTAGAAGCAGTCCCTAGGAGGGAACCTGCTCTGATACCATGTGAAAACAAAGAACGAGAATGGAATGACTATGAACGAAGTGAGTACAAATAGGAAACCCTAATTGGGTTGTACCCCCTATTGGATACCCCACTATAGCCTACAGAAACAAGTAAGCTATATGTTCTGACAGCGGGTTGATGTGGCGGTGCGACGACCAATGGCTGGAGAGGCTCACGCCCTGGAGATCAGCGTCGCGGACCCGCTATCGCTGTCTCCATCTTTGCTAGGACAGTGCGGGCGTCAAATAGGCGTGGCAGCAAGAGAATGGGAGCGTCGTAAAACGAGCGATTACGCGCCTCTGCTTGCACGCAACCGGGGCGTGCAGTTCACTCCTCTAATAGTGGAGACGTGGGGGTGTCTCGGCGGTCGCTTTCGGAGGTGGCTTCGTCAGCAGGGAGATGCGCACGTGGGGCTAGCTGTGTCGCGGGGGGCTTGTCAGGAGGACGACACTGTGTTTTCGGCTTATCTTCTAGGGTCACTGATGGCGCTCATCGGGGTGGCGTTGCAACGTGCGCAAGCCCGTGTCATCCTGCTTCGAGCAGCGTCTTCTATGGGGGGGATTAACGTTGACTTGGTGGACCGGGAGTGGGACGATGGCGATGCGGAAGGCGGGGCTCTCTGGGTGGAGGCCCCGTACATGGTGGATTCGCTGTTGTGATTGGGGGGGGGGGGGGGAATGGGGTGTGGGATGGGATGTCTTGACAGGGTGTCTTGACTGGGCGTTTTGATTGTGTATCTTGAGGGGGGGTTTTATGAGTGTTGCATTTGGGTTCTTCTTGGCGGTTTCACTTTCCTTCTCCCTTTCTCTTTTCTTTTCTTTTCTTCTTCATTATTACAATAACTTCGCTTGTTGCGGGAGTGCACTCCAATGTCAATAATGGAGTTGTTAGTCTTAAAAAAAAAAAAAAAGTCAGAATCTGCCAAATGTTTTTTACATTTGACGTTTACATTTTGCAGATTTTGCAGGGTTCAAGTAACTTTGAAGTTTGACAGAGCTACCGTAATAAGGACGTGCGAGTGTAAAATGGCAAGGGCGTTGGCTGAAAGCTCAGGCCCTCTCCCCAGTTGATGCCACATGACAATATTGAGAAAACAGAGTGCACAATGCTCATCGAGCTATGGTCAATACAGTAGTTGAATTGATATGTGTCCTTTTCAGGTGTATTTACACCCAGTCCACAACAACTCCAAGTGGTTGTGCACAATCCCCAAAAGCTGGAGCTATTCCTTGGGCTCAGCCCTAAAGCTGCCGGCACCACTACTCCCACTCGTAGGCATGTCCCCGCCTTCCTCTGTCGTCTTCCCTTCCACACCTTCACTCGCCATAGCTGCAGCATCCCTTGCCAGCTCAGGACCTGTCTTCGCCTGCGCCCCCCTTCCAGGGCCTTTTGTCGTGCTCTGGTGTGTCTTCCCTGTCACCGCACTCCTCTCTTGGTTGCTGGTCGTGAAGGGTACTCCCATCTGCACGTTCTTGTCCGCAGCAGACTGTAAAGTAGCTGCTGGCCCGCCTGGGGCCGTCTGAAACGGACATGGACAATTCAGATAGTTATCCACAGACATGGACCACAGTGTGATGGTTTGAAAAAAAAAAGGAGGCGGGCGCACATCTAAGAACACAGACATGCAAGCACACGTGCACAAGGACGGATACATATGCGGTGCTGCGAAAGCCGGTCACGCAATTTTGAAGCTCAAGATGCGTGTGGTGAACTGAAGAATTCGAGAGACCAGTGCTCTATACCATGAACGAGAGTGCAAGATAACACATGCACAAATTCGCACTGGAGAACTCACTGATAGATTCATAACTAACCATGCATGCACTACACGTAGACATGTCTTAATCGCTTCATCTCAAGAACCGGACTGTTGATATGTACCTTCCCATGTGCGGCCGTCTCTGCCATCTGCTGATAAGCCGCGTCCTCCTTGGTGACTGGCCGATCTTCCGCTGCAAGCTGCTCCCGCTCCGTTGCTTTCCCGGCCACATCCGCCATCGTGATCGGCGAGGTGGACTCTCCTTCTGCCTTGTGCTCGCGCTCTTGTCGTTGCGCCATGGGAATAAGGTCTTCAATGAAGAGAAAGAAGTTTCCAGAGATCACTTAGGCTGGAAAGAGACTGCCTCGCTGCTTCAGGTACGGCGATAATGTTCGGAATGAGGTGCTTGAAGAAGAAACAAGCGCTGTTTGAAGGAAACAGAGTTCGCGGTGGGGACTCTTTAGGAGATGAAAAAGGCGCGAAGGTTTACGGCTTGATTCGTTCTCATCGCCCATGGCGCCGTAAAATTCGCATGACTTAGCTGGGCGTCGCAGCTCATACGCAGACGCCACGTGGTGCAACCTGCGCGGCATGTGGGGAGCATTCATTCAACACGAAGTCAGCATAGAAAGAGACCCCACAGCTCGAGCAATTCCCTCTCCAGCTATTTTACTAGTGGAGGTTTCCGTCCGCTTTAAGAAAGCCCCCGAATATATTCTCGTCGCTGTGCTTGTACCGTACCAGTGAGCTTGGGCAGTATATAGTGAAACAGACCAACAACTACTTCCAGAATAACCAATTGACCATATGGGTCTAGAATATTGAATAACAATTATTATGTTTTTTTCATCTCACGGAAAGGATTGAATTTGGTCATAATCTGTTTAATTATTTAAGTTCATATAGTGGACATGTAAAGCAAAGGCTGGTTTGGAATATAGAAGGGCATGTGAACCACTATGTACCGTTTTCCGCTATTCAGAAAATCTCTAACCCATCCAACCAAAGTCAAACCTTGCATACATTCAGCGTGGAAAACATGGCTCTGACATGCGGTCAGTGTCGCTGATAGCTCGCTCCCACCAATGTAATGCCGCACAGTGAAACCTCGTAAGGTGGTTTGCACTTGGAACAGGTTTCTCCTCGATATTTCCAGCATGCGTGCCATGCGCGCCACGCCCGCCATGTGCGCTCGTAACTTTTGTCATGCTCGCGAAACTGCGAGTCGCGGCCTAATGGCTCCAGCGGTCTGGGTCTCAATCTCCGCATGCGCATCATTTTATTATTATTTTGAGAGTTGGGTTGCCGTGTCGCATCACCACCGCTATCCCACGCACCGCGCGCACTGCCTCTCTTCTCCCGCTCTTGCTTGGACTCGGACGCGAAGCCATCATCATCACGACGCGGCTCGCTGCGACGACTGCACTACCGTCACGGAAGCGCGCACACACTAATAAATGCTGCTCGTTCCTCTCCACACCTGCGCCAAACGCCCTAGATAATAATTCTTCAGTCATTGCTGCCGTGTCTCTCCTCTCCTATTTCACTCTCCCTGCAGTCTCGCAATCCCATAGCTCCGTATCCCCGTCGCGCGTTCGGAGTGACATCTTTTCTCATCACCCCCTCCGACCCACTACCGTTCTCGACATGGCACAGCAGCAGCGCGAGCGCGCGCAGGAGCGCGAGCCTTTCACAAGCGAGATGCTAGCAGAGCAAGAGGAGATCCGGAAGCACGAGTTCGAGAGCCAGCCGGGAGAGGTCAAAGAGGCCATAGCCGCCGCAGGTGGCGGCTCGGCTGTCACCCCCGTCACCGCGCCGGGCGGCGGCGGCACAGAGAAAGGCGGCGCGCCGGGCGCGTCGAGCGTGGAGGGCGCCTCGATGGGGGAAGAGAAACCGTCCGCGACAGAGAAACGCGCGGAGGTGTCCAAGGGGGAAGAGGGCGCCGCGAGTCGCGAGACGACGAAGCAGGGCATCCACATGCCGACGACGGCGGCGGAGAGCATGGGCGGCGGCGTGGCGGCGCCTGAGGTGCCGATTCGGATGCGCGACGTGCTGCCTAAGGGCGAGGTCGAGGGAGGCGCACTGGACATGCCCGTCACGAAGATGGACGCCGCTGCGAAGCAGAGGGAGGAAACCGCGCAGTTCAGAGGGGTATGCTAGGGTTGGGAAGGGGTCGGGATGGATGGGGTGGGGTTGGATCGGGTCGGGGGAACGGGATGCCTGTGGGACGCCTGCGTTTGGAAAATTGCTTTGGCGGGGATTTGATCATGCTAGTATTTCGGGATGACGGTCCTGGAGTCTTGGCGTGGCTGAATACTCCTGGACCGTGGCGTTTCTCATTGATGAAAAAAGGTTGAGGATTGACGCAATAACAACGATGTGAGCTCGTTCGTTCGTTGGCTCCTTGCCCTCCAAGCTGCTCCTGTCTCAGTACGCTCTCTGCCTACATCACCATTACGGTCCCCTTTCGGAAGCCCGTACAGTCGACCCTCTACGTTCGCCTTTCGCCCTCTCACCCCACCTTCCCGCCCGTCCTCCCCTCATGGCAGCCTGTGAAGGGCGGCACAGCAGCGGCGATGCAGCCAGCAGCGGACAAGAATGTGCAGGCGGGGGTGGTGCTGCTCTCAAACAGTGAACGTAATGGAATGATTGGAATAGAAACGAATATGGTACATATAAGCAACCCTAGAAGCTGTACCCCCTAGAGTGCAACTCACTACAGCCTATCACATCAATGTGCAACATTTGACACACCCCCATAGGCTAAGTGCGGGGCATCAAAGCAAGCAAGGTGAACAAACGGTCACAAGACCAGTCAAAGCAAGAACCAAGGCAAGCTCAGGGTGGATCTCAAGGACACCACACAAATTCCGAGCGCAAGCAAGCGGCCACAAGGCCAGTTCAAGAGTTCACTAGGATACAAATACAAAGCACAACGAGCAGAGCAAGCAACAGGACTACAGCAACCGAGGGTCTACCTCAACAAGCCCCAACTGCACACAGAACCTGTGGTGGCCACCAAGCGCCAAGGCCTTGGTGAAGACGTCTGCAGTGTTGGCCTCTGAGGCCACAACGTCCAGGCGTGCCTGACCGCGTCGCTGCAGCTCTCGCAGGAGGAAGTACCTCACGTCAATATGCTTCACTCTGCTCTCCAGTCGAGGCTCTCGACACAGGAGGATCATTGCCTTGTTGTCAGCGTACAAGGTCGATGCAGAGCGAGGCCGCTCACCAAGGTCTGCGAGCAAGAAGGTCAACCAGCGAAGATCCTGTGCCGCCATGACACCCGCGTAGATCTCTGCCTCTGCACTGGAAGTAGCCACAGACGACGACCGTGTAGACCTCCACGACACAACACCAACTCCCAGACTGAAGCAGTAACCCTGAGTCGAGCGCTGAGTCTCCACGTCGTCAGCGTAGGAAGAGTCGCAGTGACCAGTCAACACCACTGGCTGAGTCCCTCCAAGCACAAGCCCCATGCCTGATGTAGTCGCCAGGTACTTCGCCACCCTCACAGCAGCTGTCCAGTGGACAGGGCGGTGTCTCCCAGTCGCAACAAAGCAAGAAAGGATGCTGAGGGGAAAGGCGAGGTCCGGTCGAGTACAAGTCATCAGGTACATGAGGCAGCCCACCAGCTCTGCGTAGGGTCCACTGGACTCAAAGGGCTCGTCAGGAAAGGGGCCCGTGAGTCTGTGGTCAACAGCAAGAGGAGTGGGCTGTGTGGTGGAGAACTGGAAGTCGAACCGCCGAAGGACCTGCTGCACCATGTGTGACTGCGTCAGTGTGATGGTGCGAGCGGCTCTGTCCCGGGTGATTTGCAAGCCAATGTAACGCTGCAGCTCACCCAGGTCAGTGCACTTGTGTCTCTTCTGCAGTTCGGACTTCACCTGAGCCAGGGCTGCCCTGTCTGCTGTAGCAAACACCAAGTCGTCGACGTAGACAAGGATAAAGAAAGGAGTAGAACCCGCTCGAACAAACAGCGACGGGTCGGCGGAGGACGGGCTGAACCCAAGGTCACGAAGCGTGGAGCAAAGAGTGTCGTGCCACTCACGGGGCGACTATCGGAGAACGTAGACTGGTCGCCTCAGGCTCCACTGGGTCCCAGGTGGGAAGGTGTCAGTGAAGCCAGGAGGACGGCGCAGCCAGATCTCCTCGTGCAGTCGGCCCTGGAGGAACGCAGTGGAGAAGTCGAGGGAGTGCAGCTCGTAGTCTCGCTGCGCTGCTATGTGGAGTAACACCCGAAGAGTAGTCAACTTCGGGGTCGGGGCGAAGGTCTGGAAGAAGTCAACTCCCTCACGCTGACTGAAGCCCCTAGCCACGTAGCGCGCCTTGAACACCGGCGGTGCTCCAGGCGGCCGCTTCACCTTGAAGAGCCACATGGCATCGACTACGTTAGCCCTGGGAGGGGGAACTGCGTCGACGTAGGTGCCTATGGACCTCCAAGATGCCAACTCTGAGTCCATAGCCGCTTTCCACTGAGAGGCCCACGCCCCTAACACTGCCTCGCGATAAGTGCGAGGAGTCGGTATGTCAAGGGCGTCGGGGTCTCCCTCAGGGGAGAGCAGCATGGCACACACAGAGGGAGAAGCGGTTGCCCAGTACTCCAGCTCAGACTCTCTGTCCTCTAGGACGTCACAGCCAAGGGCAAACCCACCCCCGACGGACAGAGGACGGTAGGGAGGAGCTGGCACCACACGGGTGGCGTAGTCAAGGCGACTGGCGGCAGCAAACTCAGCGATAGCGGCAGTGAGAGCCGAGGCAGACGACGGAGGGAAACGAGAGTCGGTGACAAGAGTGGCGAGGACACGTGCGGCAACAGGACGAACACCGCGGTAGTAGTCAGAGATAGGAGTGGGGGGGGGCTGTGACAGAGGACGGAGGAGGAGACGGGAGAACGGACACAGGAGAAGGAGAACGACGACGAGACGAACAAAGGAGGGCAGTGTGGAGGTCAGTAACAGGGGACGAGTGACGAGCTCGCGGAGGACAACGGGTGAACAAGTCGCGACGGACAGAAGGAGGAGGAGACTGAGGAGGAGGAGAAGACCAGACCGCCGGAGGGTCGTCAGGAGGAGGCAACGGAGGAACAAACAGAGGAGGAGACGGGGAGCGGACAGAAGGAGAGGAGGAAAGGCCAAGGGCCCGCAGGCCACTCACAGGTGGGAACAACTGCCGCTCCAGAGGAAGCTGCGGGGGCGGCTGCGGGTGCCGCTGCTGCGGCTGCGGCGACGGCTGCGGCTGCTGCTGCTGCCGCTGCTGCTCCTGCTGCTGCTCCAGAAGGTCCAGCACCCGCAGCTCCTGCCGCTCCCTCTCCAACCGCTCCTGCTCCTCACGCTCACGCCGACGGGCAGCCTGGAGACGCGTGTCGTGACGGTGGGGAGGCGGAGTGGACTCCGCAGAACCAGGGTCTCCAGCTCCAGTCTCCTCAGACTCAGCACCCCGAGAACCAACACCTCCAGTGTCAGGACCTCCAACTCCAGCACCCCCAGAACTAGCACCGCCAGTGCCAGCACCTCCAACTCCAGCACCCCCAGAACTAGCGCCACCAGCGCCAACACCCCCAGCTCCAGCACCCCCAGAGCTAGCGCCACGTGCACCAGCACCTCCAGCTCCTGTACCCCGCGAGCGAGCACCCCCAGCGGCTGCACCTCCAGCTCCAACACCAACAGAGTCCACAGTAACCTGTCGAGGAAGTGCCGAAGGCTGCTGAGGGGACTGTGAGGAGGACTGCGGGGAGGGAGACACTACCTGACGCGCGACCGAGGGGAGAGGGGTAGCGTGGGACACACCAGACGGGGCAGGATCAGGGGGGGGCGGGGGTACCGGAGGAGCGAGAGCAGGAGGAGGAGAGGGTGCGAAGAAAAGAAGGGGAGGGGGTACCGGGAGACCTTGACAGGGGTACCGGGTGTAGTAGGACACGGACTCGTCAAACCGGACGTCACGGGAGTCTAGGAACTGGTAAAGGGGAGGGTGGTAATAGGACCAGTCGGCAGAGTCCACTGGGAAACCAAGGAAGATACAAGGGACGGCGCGTGCCGAGAGCTTGTCCGCGGAGGTGTCGCGAACAAGCGCAAGGCAGCCCCAGACTCGAAAGGCCGACCCGACACCAGGGGAACCTGTCCAAAGACTGGTCGGTGAAGCCTCGGGCCGCGAGACACGCGGCTGGAGGTTCAGCTGGTGTGCGGCGTAGCGAACCGCGTGGGGCCACAGAAAATGGGGCGCACGGGCATGGATCATGGACGTGCGGGCGATGTCCATGACCAAGCCTATGCAGCGCTCAGCAACCCCATTCTGCTGTGGGGACTCAGGCAGCGTCCAAGACTGGGTGATGCCCTGTTCGCCGCAGAATCCGCTGAGAATGCCGGAGCGAAACTCGCCCCCACGGTCGGAGTGGAGACAACTGACTCGACGACCACGAGTGCCCTCAGTGGCTAGAAGCCACCTGATCAGCGTAGCAGTCACCTCAGACTTCTTCGCAAGAGGGAACACTGTGGTGTACCTGGAGAAGTCATCGACGACCACCAGAAAGTAACGCTCCCTCCTAGACCCCTGCGTCGAGGCAGGGCCCCAGACGTCCAAGTGGAGAGTCTCGAAGGGAGCGGTGGCCAGACGAAGGGAGGAGGAGTGTGGAGTGGCGCGTAAGCGATCAGCGACGCAAGGAGAGCAAGGAGGGGCAAGCGAGAGAGGGAGCGACGGGAAGGTGCGTGGGAGACCTGTGACGAGTCCCTGACTGAGCATGCCACGAAGGCGAGGGATCGACGGGTGGCCAAGACGGTGGTGCCACAGGACGGTGCGGTGGGCGAGAGAGCGACAGGAGCAAGACGCGGCGACTGGACTGGACACATCGACAGGACTGGACACGACTACCTGGCTAGACACAGCAACTGGACTGGGGACCTGGGCCGGAGGGGACGCAACGACCTGAGGGGAGGACGCGACCGAGGAGCGCTCGGTGTGGAGAACGTAGAGACCGGAGCGGGGCTCCTTGGTGAACGTGGCCAGAACAGCACCCGTGGTAGCGTCAGTACAGACTGCAGTCCGCCCACCCCCCACGAAGGTAACTGTGATCCCCCTGTCCTGGAGGTATCCAACACCCACCAAGTTCCGAGTGAACGAGGGGATGTGGAGGCCACGCAGGACACTAGAGGGGACCACAGGGCACGGGAGGGTGGTGGAGCTACGCGCAACGGCTGGTCCAGAGGTAGGATCAGCCAGAGCCACCGACACAGGTGTGAGGAGTGGCGTAAGGGTCGTGTGGTCGCGGAAGAAGCACTGAGACGCGCCCGAGTCCAGCGTGAACGACAGAGAGGCCTCAGCCGGTGGGTCACCTGACCCAGTCGCTACACAAGCACCTAGAGCAGCAACACAAGCACCTAAGCTAGACAGGCACAACGCTACACTAGCAGGAGGCAAGCAGGCTAACCTACGAACACGCGAGCACCCAGATCCATCAGCACTAAAGTCAGCATCAACATACAAAGCATGCTGACGCGCATCGTCCATGGACAAAGCAAATACATCAATCTTACGGGCTAACAGACGAGACCAGCGAGGCGTTACCGCCAGAGGGCCCCAACGAGACTGGTAGAGGTTGTCGAGGCGGCGGAAGCACCGCGCGGCAGAGTGGTCGTCGCGACCACAGAGACAGGGGCTACCCGGCCCGGTGACGCACCAGTGGGTGCACGGGCCAGCATCACGGCGAGGGGGACGAGGGGCCCAGCTGGAAGTACTGTTGCTGCGGCTGGTGCTCCTAGGGCCTCCCGGACCCCATTGCGGCGGGGGACCCCAGTGCTGCTGCGGACCCCACTACAGCGGGGGCCTCCACTGCTGGAACTGCCGCGGCGCCTGCTGGTGCTGCTGTCCCTACTGCTGCTGTTGTCCCCGCTGTGGCAGGTGCTGCTGTGGCTGCTGCTGCTGGGGGGGAACGCCCCCACCGGTCGGGCCACCACCTGTGGGTGGGCCTGTCTGTCCAGCACCTCCTCCAAGCCCCCCTCCCCCAGGTGCACCACCGCCGCCGCCGCCGCCGCCGCTGCCTCCGCCACCACCGCCGCTCCCACCTCCACCGCCACCTCCACCGCCGCCTCCACCGCCTCCACCTCCCCCCTTCCCGCCCTTCTTGCCACTCTTGCCCCGTTTCTGCCAGTCTGCGGCAGAAACGGAAGCGGTGTCCTCAGAGACCGACACAGCAGCAGAAGCGCGGGTAGCGGTGAAAGTGGGAAGCTGGGGGGCGGCACACCCCGCAAAGAGACGAGGGGCCACTGCATCAGTGGCGGAGGCAACGGTGAGGAGACTGCTCTCGATGGTCCTTAGAGCAGTCGCTAGGAGGTCGATAGTGAGCTCAGTGGGGTGCTTCTGAAGAAGCGCGTCGCGGGCAGTGGCAAGGCGGTCAGGGAGGCGGGTGACTAACCAGTGCACAGTGAGCCACATGGGGGGGGGAGCAACAAGGAGCTGTGCGTCGGTACAGGCAGCACGGAAACCGGCGTCAAGCGAGCGGAGGTGAGTCACGAGATTCAGAAACAGTCGCAAACGAGCCTAGGTCGGGAAACACAGACGGTATGATGAGGCGACTGAGGGAGGCAGAGGAGGGGATGGAATAGCGGGCAACAATAGCATCCCACACCCCCTGGGCTGTCTCCACCTGGTCAAAGTGGGCGGCCTCAGTCGGGGGGAGAAGCTCCGACAGTCTGAGAGCGGCAGCATCGTCACGCGAGAGCCACACGTCCCTGGCCAGGACCCGACGGTCGTACTCCGCCTGGGCCGTAGGGGTCGGCTCCGGGGTGGTAGGCAATGCGGCGGGGGACGGGGGGGCCTGTAGGGCACCAGACACGTGGGCACCAGACGCGTGGGCCCACAGAGTGGCGCCGTCCTGTCGCTGGCTGGTGAGGAAGCGCGTGGTCTGGCGCTGCCAGGTGCCGAACTCTACCGGGCGTCCCTCCGCGTCGAAACGGAGGCGACGAGACTCCATAACGGAAGACATGCTCGAGGCGGCTGGAGCACGGCGGAGGCTGAGCTAAGAACGAGGAGGACGACTACTGAGGGGGAGAGACGCCAGGTGGGACGCTACGTGTGAACCGATAGCGGAAGGAGCAAACGAGGTGAGGCGGAGAACGGCTAGGGACGCCAGGGACGGAGCGGCTAGGGACGCCAGGGACGGAGCGACTAGGAGCTATGGAGGATTCGGCGCTACGGCTAGCTACCAGAGGTATGAGCGGCTGCCAGCCGCTGAGGTGAAGGCCAGTGACCGGGAGAATGGGGAGGGCCCGGGAAACAGGGCGGAGGAGGGGTGAAAAACGGTCACGTGCCGAGGGTAGGTGCGGATGGGGCGGGCTAGGGTGATGCTGACGGTGGGAATGGGCGGGAGGGCGGTTTTGACGGTGGGAATGGGCGAGAGGGCGGTTTTGACGGTGGGAATGGGCGGGAGGGCGGTTTTAACGGTGGGAATGGGCGGGGAGGGCGGTTTGACGGTGGGAATGGGCAGGGAGGGCTGTTTTGACGGTAGGAAAGGGCGGGGGGAGGGCGCGACGGTATAGGACTGGGGCGTGGGCGACGGGCTAGGCGCGGAGGGCGAGGGGCAGGGCGTAGGGGCGCCGCGACGAGCTGGGGCAGCGCCTACGGGCTACGCGCTGGCTAGGGGCAGGGCGCACGGGCGCCGCGACGGGCTGGGGCAGGGCCTACGGGCGTCGCGACGGGCTGGGGCAGGGCCTAAGGGCGTCGCGACGGGCTGGGGCAGGGCCTACGGGCGTCGCGACGGGCTGGGGCAGGGCCTATGGGCGTCGCGACGGGCTGGGGCAGGGCCTAAGGGCGTCGCGACGGGCTGGGGCAGGGCCTACGGGCGTCGCGACGGGCTGGGGCAGGGCCTACGGGCGTCGCGACTGGCTGGGGCAGGGCCTACGGGCGTCGCGACGGGCTGGGGCAGGGCCTACGGGCGTCGCGACGGGCTGGGGCAGGGCCTACGGGCGTCGCGACGGGCTGGGGCAGGGCCTAAGGGCGTCGCGACGGGCTGGGGCAGGGCCTACGGGCGTCGCGACGGGTTGGGGCAGGGCCTACGGGCGTCGCGACGGGTTGGGGCAGGGCCTACAAGCGTCGCGACGGGCTGGGGCAGGGCCTACGGGTGCCGCAACGGGCTGAGGCAGGGCCTACGGGCGTCGCGCGGGCTAGGGGCAGGGCGCAGGCTAGGCGCGCGAAGGGGCGCGTTAAGGGGGGGGCGGGCTGAGGGCCACGCTAAGGGGCGCGGGCTAGGAGCGCGAGTGCGCAACAACCTCAGAGGGCGCGGAGGGTGCGGAGGGCGCTAGGCGGGACGGATGGCGCGGAGGGCGCTAGGCGCACGGAGGGCTAGGCTAGGAACGTAACTACTCGTGATACCATCTCAAACAGTGAACGCAACGGAATGATTGGAATAGAAACGAATGGGGTACAAATAAGCAACCCTAGAAGCTGTACCCCCTAGAGTGCAACTCACTACAGCCTATCACATCAATGTGCAACATTTGACAGCTGCCCATGGGTGCAGAGCTGGCCAGTGCGAAAGCTGCAGAGGCCACCGCACAGGGCCGCAAGTTTGGAGCGCCCTGAAGGAAACCACAGGGATAGGAGCTCGCGGTGGGATAGGGAAAGGAGCGCATGTGGTAGGACAGGTAGGAGTGGAGTGGAGTGTATTTGTTTTCTGTGTATCGCAGGGTAAAGCTGCTGCTTGCTATATTTTTATTTTGTCCTGCTGTAGGGAAATGGTGAATGCAGGTGCTGTGATTGCAGGTTAGCACACCTGTGTTCCTGTGATGAAATGACATTTGGCTCTGGACTATAGTAGCGTGTGCAATGCTTAGTGTTTAGTCTGCATAAGAGCGTTGGAAAAAATTGGAGTTTAGGATGAACATGTATAATAGTGTGCTTGTAATACCTGTATACACTATTGCTCACATGTTTTCCCTTTGTGGAGTTATTGGACAAACAGCAGCAAGTCATCTCCCCCAACTGTCTCATTTCTGCACGAAGTAGGTATATGCGAAGCGATGCGCTGAAAATGTCCATTGGTATCAACACCCTACCATAACGCGTCACCTGAAATCGGATCCGTGAAGTGTATCAACTCACATCGTCGAGCTGTGCATGTCGACAAGGGTGCTTCGTTCGGTGCATCTAGCAAGAATGGTTAAGTACGATGCTGTGCGTTTCAATCACACAGCCCCTCACGCGCGCGCAGTCTATCCGAAACTCATGCCAAGCTCCCACTGACGTCACTTTTGGGCTGCCCCAGCAACACTGCTCTCTTTCGGGTGTGGTGCATTCTTGGAATTTCGGAATTCAGAACTCGCGCTCTCGCCTTTGCCCTCCCACTCTCGCCCTCGCCCTTGCCCTCGCTGTCGCGCTCTCACCCTCGCCCTCGCCTAGCTTGCCCAACACGCTTCACTCACACCCCCCGATCCCGAGTCCCGACTCGACTGGGGTACGGCCTGTGCTACTGCGCGCTGCCTGTCTTCCCGTGCGCCATTTATCCCATAAACGCGACATGATGTCCGGACTTTTTGTTTGAGTACCCAAGAGGAGTCATTTTCGCGACTCGCTAGCCTATCGTCGCTCCGAACCGATCGCGACGCCGTGTTCCCGGCCTCATCCCTTGGCCTCATTCCCTTAACCTCCCCCAACCGTTTTTTTTTTGCCGTTTCTTGCGCCATGGAGTCCGCGCCGCCGCTCTCCGCCATGCCGTCCCCCGCGAGCCTCCTGGTCGCGCTGCTCGCGCTGCTGCTCACCGCGCTGCTCGCCGCCGCTTTCGAGTTCTTCTGGGGCGCACCGCGCCGCGCCATGGCGGACCTCGCAGCGCAAGGCGTGCCCGGACCGCCCTTCCGGTTCTTCTACGGCATCCTGGCTGACATGATCCAGGTGCGACCCGGTTCAGGTGCGACTCGCTTCAGGTGCGACTCGCTTCAGGTGCGACTCGCTCGGGATGTGGTCAAGCCTGCGTGTGCGTGTGCGTGTGCGTCTGCGTGTGCGTGTACGTGTACGTGTGCGTCTGCGTCTGCGTCTGCGTGTGTGTTTGTGTCTGCATGGGTGCCCGTACAGGTGTGACGCGCGACCCTATAATGTGGAACACACAGGTCGACCTTCTGGCCCTCTCGCGGCTCGTCTAATGCGGATGTGCTGTGCACGCACGCACACAGGCGTAACACGCCTTAGAGACTTCAATCAGTAGCACGGCCTCCAATCGCCCCCTCCATTCCGCCGCCCCCCACTTCATCCCCCCTTTCCCCCCACCTCCTCCCTCCCCCCGGTCGGCGCCGCGCCCGCAGTTCCGCAAGAGGCGTCAGGCGGACCCTGAGTTTGCAGCGCGCAGCACAGCCACTCACGTGCTGGATACCCTGGTCGCCAGGTGGGTGCGCTGGTGGCGCGCGGGCAGGGAAGGGGAGGGGTTGGAAGGGGGGAGGATTGAGACGTGTTTAGAATTGCGTTTGCTGCCCGAAGCACGTGCTGGATACCCTGGTTGCCAGGTGGGTGCGCTGGAGGTCCGAGGACAGGGAAGGGCGACAAGAAAGGAGGAGGAGACGACGGGAGGGGGAGGAGAGGAGGGAAGAGGGAGGGAAGAAGTGGGTGGGGTGGGGGTGGAAGAATTTGAGACGTCTTAGAACTCAAAGACGTCATTGCAGCGAGCAGCACCACCAGGTGGGGAGAAAGGAGAGTGGGTCAAAGAGGGGTGAGGAGTTGTGGGGGCGCATGTGCTGGATTCCCTGGTCGCCTTTTGAGTCGACTCAAAAGTCGCGTCGATTCAAAAGTCGCGTCGATTCAAAAGTCGCGTCGATTCAAAAGTCGAGTCGACTCAAAAGTAGGAGTTGTGGGGGCGCATGTGCCGGATTCCCTGGTCGCCACGTGGGGAGTGGGGGGGAGAAAGGAGGGTCGGTCAAAGAGGGGTGAGGGGTTGGGGAGGGAGGGGGGAGGGGGTGGGCGGGAGATCGAGTGATACGCTACTGCGTTTTCCCCGTGCCATGCCATGAGCTCTGCTCACGCCCTCCTTTCCAACCTTCATCCTCTCCGTACCGTACCATACCATCTCACCTCATCCCTCGTCCATCCTATCCCCCATTCTTCCAACTCTTCCCCGCTCTCCTCCCGTCTTCCCAATCCCCTCCTCTTCCCTTCCCCATCTCCCGCTACTCTTCCGTCCTCTTCAATCCGCCCTCCCCCTCCCGCCACCTTCCCAGTTATGGTCCACTGGTGCGCTACTGCTTCGGCCCCATCCCACCACTCACCCTGTCCGCCCCATCCCACCACTCACCCTGTCCGCCCCATCCCACCACTCACCCTGTCCGCCCCATCCCACCACTCACCCTGTCCGCCCCATCCCACCACTCACCCTGTCCGCCCCATCCCACCACTCACCCTGTCCGCCCCATCCCACCACTCACCCTGTCCGCCCCATCCCACCACTCACCCTGTCCGCCCCATCCCACCACTCACCCTGTCCGCCCCATCCCACCACTCACCCTGTCCTCCCCATCGTTTCCCCACTCTCTGTCATCCCTTCCCTCACTTCTCCTCAATCCCCCCCCCTCACTCCCCTCCCCCTCCCCCCAGCTACGGCCCAGTGGTGCGCTACTGCTTTGGCCCCATGTCCCGAGTCCTCCTAGCAGACCCCACGCTCGTGCGAGCGGCCTACATCACGCACAACGACGCCTTCCCCAAGACCACGCTCATCCGCGCCGCCTTCCCGCTCTTTGGCAACGGGCTGGTTACCGCATCGGGGCCGTTCTGGGCCACGCAGAGGAGGAGAATCAACCCCGCGTTCAAGCACAGCGAGCTCAAGGTGAGAGCATGTGCTGTGTGTGTGTGACCCGGGTTCCTGCTCCTCCTGTCTCTGCCTGCCCTTGCTGCCGCTGCTCCCCCAACGCCTTGCGTTTGTTTGGCAACGGGCTGGTCGCCGCATCGGGGTCGTTCTGGGCCACGCAGAGGAGGACGATGAATCAACCCTGCGTTTAAGCACAGTGAGCTTAAGGTGAGAGCATGGGTTCATCCTTCTGCCTCTGCCTCTGCCTCTGCCTCTGCCTCTGCCTCTGCCTCTGCCTCTGCCTCTGCCTCTGCCTCTGCCGCTGCTCCCCCAAGGCCTTTGCTGGGCAACAGGCTGGTTACTGCGTCGGGGCCGCTATGGGCGGTGCAGAGCAGGGAGGGGAATTAACCCCGCGTTTAAGCACCCCGCTGCCCCTGCCGCTGCCCCTTTCCCTGCCCCTGCCCCTTCCCCTGACGCTGGTGATGTTGTTCTCCCAGTCCTTCCGTTGTAAGGGGTTGATCTTACTGTGTTCAATCTGGCTGATGGAGGTCAATTGAACCCCTTCACCTCTTCCCTCGTCCCCTTCTCTGCCCTCTGCTCTTCCTCCTGCTTCCCCCCTTCCCCGCATCTCCAACCCTTCCCCCACCCCATAACCAGCGTATGTTCCCAACCATGCTCGAGTGCACCCAAGCTGCCCTGTCGCTCTGGGAGAAGCAGGTCCTGGCCGAGCCTGACAAGGAGGTTCGGATTGACACCATGCTTGAGACGCTGACTCTTGACGTCATTGGCCGTGCAGCCTTTGGTGCTAGGCTGGGAGGGCCAGACGGGGAGAATGAGGAAAGGGGAGAGGGGAAGAAGGGAGGAGCGGGAGCGGAGGGAGGAGGGAAGGAAGGCAAGGAAGGGAAGAGCGATGCAGAGGTGCTGGTGGGGGCGTTTCGGGCGTATCTAGAGGCGGCAGTGGCGAGTGTTCGTAGCCCGCTGGCCATGGTTCCTGGATTCCTGTGAGTGCCTCCAAACTCGTCAGTCAGAATGTTTGACTCGCTAAATCAGAAACACAATGCCTTCTCAACCACATGTCTTGCCAATTTCCTGCACACTCCGGCTCCTCTCACCCATCGCCCATCACCCACCCACCATTCCCAATGTGCTTCCTTCCTGCCCTCGCCACCTTTAGAGACCGGACAGCCACCGCATCCCATCCTTAAGCAAGCCTCTTCCTTATCTTCTCACCCCGTGCCTGCCCCTTTCCCACGTGATCCTCGCAGGTTGCTCCCCACAGCGCTGACAGGCAGGAGCAGCCCTTTGAGTTGCCGCAAAAGTCCCCCTCCCTTTACTTGCACCCCTCCTCTCGTGCGTGATCCTCCCTCCCAGGTTGCTCCCCACGGCGCTGCACCGGCACCGCAACAGGCAGGAGCAGCTCATCCGCAGCATCATGATGCGCATGATTGCCGCCCGCCGCCACCGCCGCCACCACCACACCGCCGCCGTCGCCGCCGCTGCTCCTGCTGCTGGGTCAGAGAATGGTGATGGTACGGGAGGTGCAAAGGGGAGTGGTGGTGGTGGTGGTGGTGCCGGGGAGGAGGGAGCTATTGACTTGCTGGAGCTGATGCTCATGGCCACGGATGAGGAATCCGGTGCTGCTGCAGCAGGAGGAGCAGCAGGAGGAGGAGGAACGGCAGCAGCAACAAATGGAGTAGCAGCAGGAGACGCAGGAGCAGGAGGCGCAGGAGGAGCGTTGAAGGCAGCAGCAGCAACCGCACCTGCGATGTCAGATCAGCAGTTGATGGACGAGTGTCTCACCTTCTTGCTGGCTGGCCACGAAACTACCTCCAACCTCCTCACCTGGACTGTGATGCTCCTATCGCAGCACGACACGTGGCAGCAGCGCGTGCGTGAGGAGGCGCAGCAGGTCCTGGGGGCAGACGGGGCGGGGTTGACAATGGAGAAAGCAGCAGAGCTGAAAATCATGGGCATGGTTCTGAATGAGGTGCTTAGGCTCTACCCTCCCGCTCCGGCGATTGCTCGCCGCTGCGACACCCGCACTAAGCTAAGCGAAACGCTTACCATTCCCGCTGGTGTGGGAGTGACGGTGCCAATTGCGGCGATGCACAGGAGGAAGGAGCTGTGGGGGGAAGACGCGGAGGAATTTAAACCGGAGCGGTTCGCGAATGGGATTAACAAGGCGGCGATGCATCCGCTCGCGTTTATCCCCTTTAGTGTCGGCCCCCGTGTGTGCATTGGGCAGAACTTTGCGGTGCTGGAGGCGAAGGTGATCCTGTCGCTGCTGGTGCTGCGATTCTCATGGCGAGTGGCTCCGTCTTACCGGCATTGCCCAGAGCAGGTTCTCACTCTCAAGACCAAGTTTGGCATGCCTGTGCTGCTCACACCTCTCGCTCACAGTGGTGGGGATTGAGTTGTCTTGTCGTGCTGAATGTTCGCTTGGGAGTTGTTTGAGGTGGACTGAAAGGAACTGGTGTTGGTAGCTGATTCGTTCTGTGCAGCTGTTGTGTGATGGCTAATATAAGCTTGTTGCAGCACATCCACATGCAATTTATTACACGGTTGAATTAACAGCATGGTTTGTAAAGTTGAGCTTTCAGATGTCTTCTGCCGCAGTTCAACGTATGACATCAACTCCGTTACTCAGCGGATTTACCCCAGAGCCCCAACGAGACAACTATCTGAAGGTCTTCGCACAAGTAACTGAGTTACATAGCGGCCACTCCCTCGGTTCTTTTTCTCCGCCGAACCCTCAAAGTTCTTTTCGCGAGTACAACTTCTGTCCTTGCGGCCGACAACCAGCCAACATATCTTGTGTGTCGTCACACGTGTTTTCAGGGAGAAGCGACCACAGCAAAAGAACCTGGACGGTCCGCAGGTGGCCGTTCAGCTTGTGTCGGGTCGGTACATGGGTACAGCAATTCCTCATCCCCTGCGGTTTGAACCTGCGGTTCCCTCTTGCCGAGAAAGCCATGATCAAAGCGATTCCTTATCACCATACAAATGTCGTGCCTTCCACATCAGCTCACCAAGGAGTTATTCGTCCAGCCCGATTAGCAACACAATACTCGCATCTCGATACAGCACTCGAATCTCGACATTTCTCAAGAGCCATAGTTTGTCAGGATGGTTAGACACGCGCTTCTGGCGCTCTCGCTGGCGCTGCTGGTGGTCGCCGCGCGCGCCGGCAGTCCCATCACAAGCAGCACCGCGAACGAGAAGCCCGACCTGAGCAGCAAGAAGGACGACGGGCTGATGACGGAAATCCCCGCGGACATCGCGAAGCAAGCAGCGTCGGGCAACGCGGCGGGAGTGACGTACGTAGACACGGCGCAGGACACGTTCTTCATGGCGGACGTGAAGAAGGCCGGGTGGAACGCGCAGAAGTGCCCGCCCGGTTTGAACAAGGAGCTCGCGGGCGCGTGCACGCCTAAGAACTGCTCCAAGGGCGGCATCGCCGCCAAGTGGAAGACCGCTTACCTGCAGAAGAACAAGCTCGGTTACGAGCTGTACGTGCCGGGTAACCCGCTCACGCTGCTCAAGGCGAACCCCGCGTCGTGCTGCAACACGTGCGCCGCGACGCCGGCGTGCACGTACTGGCAGTACATTCCCGACATCACGATCGACGGCAAGAAGGGCAAGGGCGCGTGCTACCTGATTCACGACCAGATCGACTTCACGTGTGGAGAGATGACCGCGCAGTACAACACGGAGACGAAGCCCGTGCCGCTGCAGGTGCGCATCGGCGGCGAGTGCAACCCTAGCGCCAAGATTCTCAACGACCCGCATCTGGTGGGCGCGCACGGTACGCACTTCGACTTCAACGGCCGCCCCGACAAGGCGTTCTGCCTGCTGACGGACCGCGACCTGCACGTGAACATGCTGCTGCGCGGGTACTACGACGCGCGCACCGACAACGCGGCGCTCGTGGTGGACGGCAAAGCCGTGCACACGTGGATCAAGGAGCTCGGCATCGTGTGGACCGCGGCCGGCGCGGACCACAAAATCCGCCTTGCGGCGCGCAGCGGCAAGCAGCAGGAGCGCGGCGAGGGGTTCATGAAGTCGATCGAGATCGACGGCGAGGAGATTCCGCGCATGAAGGTGGGCGACACGGTGACGAGCGCGGGCGGGCTGACGGTCCAGTTCCGCGCGGAGGAGAAGGAGGGACCATTCGACGTGGACTACTATCTGCTCACCATCAACGGACTCGTCTCCCTCGACCTCCGCCTTCGCGTCGCGCACCCCAAGCTGCAGACGCCGACCGAGGCCGAGGCGCATATCAACGTGGGCATTGCGGAGCTCGAGCACACGGACGAGATTCACGGCGTGCTCGGACAAACGTACCGCGCGGATCACTCGCAGCGCGCCGTGGATTTCCAGCGCCTGATCGCAAGCCTGCACCGCCCGATCTCCGTACTACCTAGAGTACGACTCTGCAGGCCGAATTTCGGCTTCAGGAACGGCACCACGCCCGTGTTGAGCCACTCGATGACGCCTGCGGCCTCCATCCACCCGTTGGCTTGGCAGCCGACCACAACATCTGCACGCAACGAAAAAGCGCAGGTAACAACTCAGGTAGTAACGGGAATAAACACGGTGGACGATCACTTACCGTTCGGGAAGTCACCCTTGGGGAGTGTCTTGCGCTTGAAAAACACCCACGGCTTCAGCTTCTCGCCCGTCGCCGTGCACGCAAGCATGACGGTCACTCTCTCCTTCTGGTACCCACCGCTGCGAATGGGCACCGACCTCACGCCCGTCTGCTCCACGGTGGTCGTCGCCGGCATCTCTAACCACAGCGGTGTCTGGTCGGCGTTGATGATGTAGCGGTTGTCAATGTCGTATTCGTGACGGGCGTCACGTACGTACTGCCAAAAATCATTGCACTGCTCAGCCACGTCTGCAGAACAGGGAGAAAGGTACATACAGTAAACCAAATTAGTATGACGCATAGGAGACATGCGAAAAAAACTAAGCGCAATCGGGTACCCACCAAAATCAGCAGTAAACGACCCACTTACGCTCCTGTGTTTTCTGTGCCACCTTTGTTTTCATGCGCACGCTGAGGTTCCACCGCCTGCGGAACCGCTCCGTCCACCGCTGACTGGCTTTCCACTTGACGTCCGGGTATAGAACCTTCATCACTTCTTTGGACCACTCTTGCAGCCGGCCGACCGAAACCGCAACTCCGCGGCGTCGCCAGTCGAGGAGTTGCGCGTACACCTTTAACTCCATGGGGCGGTACCAAGACGACCTCCCGCGCCCGTGAAGTCGCATCCGTGCTCCGTGTGCAGCCTTGAGCGCATCCGCTTGGGCTTTCCATTCTGTCAGACATTTTCGGTGAATGCCTGACTCCCGCGCCACTTCGCTCACCGAAGCCGCAAGCTCGAGCCGCACGAGCCACCTCAACTTCTCCTGGGCGGTGTAGGACTGCCGCTTATGTTGATTCAGCTTGTGCCTGGGGGAGGGGGGGCGGGCATCTCGATTCTCGGTAGACGGGTGGGGGCGTTTTTTATTAAGGGGCGGATATGTCGGTACCGGCATCTTCGCGCGTGGTGCGTCGCGCCACCAGGACTCCACACCGTCCTCGTCCTCGTCACGGTCGGGGAACACGTCTTCCTCGTCGCCCGCTGCACCGTCGCCACCAGCTTCACCGTCGCCTCCAGCTTCGCCGGCGCCGCTGTCATGTTTATCGGTAGCCACATCATCGTCGGCGCCCACAGCCGACTCATCCCACGCGCAGAATTCTGGTTGTCCCCACCGTGGTGCAGTCGCTGGAGCTTGGATGCGTGCATCGCGGGCCTTCGGTGTGTCCGCTTCAGCCAACCATTCGTCGAACGTGGCTGGTAAATACAGTTGGAGCACGGGCCGTTGGTGAGCACCTGCCGTGGCAAAAGCAGGCGGATTCGGAGGAGCGGGAGGTGCGGGAGGAGCGGGTGGAGCAGGGGGTGCAGGGGGAGCAGGAGGAGCAGGGGGTGCAGGGGGATCCGGTGGCACTGGAGGCGCTGGTGGCTCACGGGTATACCACCCGTCTTCGGTAAGTCGCCATGTGCGGCGTGGCTTTTTCTTGAAGAGGATGCTCGTCCCACTAAATTCCGCCATGGCTTCGCCTGCCAGGCGGGGTTGACAAGGAACTGAATGAAAAAATCAGAGAAGAGGGTGAAGAAATGGGCAACGACGGTGACCCCTGCTGTGTGACGGCTCGGGTTCCTCGTCGATGACAGGCAGGAAACCCCCGCCCACTCCCGTAGAGGCGCCTGCGTGGCAGCATCTACGCTGCGCTGGCAGAGAATCTTGCCGAACCTTCGAGATGGTTCTGCCCGAATGCACATGCCTCGCAGCGCATGCGGCTCTGATTGGGCCGCACGACAACATCATCGTCACGGCTGTCACATTCTATGTTTCCAGACAACATTGTGCGGTGGTAAACCGAACCGCTGCGGTTTCTGCCTGAAAACCATGCACGATCCCACTTGGTGCATGGTCGGTTGAATTCGCCTTATTGAGAGCTTCACAATGGTGTGTTCAAAATTGATTTTCATTTTTCCCTTTATACAAGCGCATGCGCTTATAAATCTGACTCAATTATAAGCGCACCCCCCCAAAAAACAATGTTTTATTATAAGCGCAGGTGCGCTTCTATCCGGGGTATTACGGTACCGCATGTTTTTATTATCTCAAGCATTTACATTCACTCTGCTATTGAGGTCAAGGGCCCACCACCGTTAGACTAGAAGTCTGCGAACCTTCCTAAGGAGATCCTAGTTACGATCACTTCCTGTTCGCAACAGCGAGAACATATTGGTTGCTACATACCGTTTTCAATCTGTATGCTAGACTATATTATATATTTTTTGAAAAAATTCTTCCTTACCTTATGTAAGGTAAAAAAAATATATGGAATTAATCCAAAGAAAACGTTTCGCTCTCCAAACACCCTTGAATCTTTATGAAAATTTACCTCAACACACATGCGGACAAGATTGAGGAAAGATTCACTAAGTTGGCCCAATGATCCAATGGCACATACTTAACTATTTGGTACACTCACCACAGGAGAGGGAACGCCTGGCTGAAAATGACAAGAAAATCTGCGTCAAGCGAGGAGTGGCGAGGAACTGCTAAGAGTAGCTAGAAACGGTGGGAAACCCTAATATGCGCCAGGGAATGCTGATGGAGAGGGAGTGGATGCTGATGGAGATGCCAGAGGCCAGGGCTTATTTTATCAGGGTAATTATCCTGATTTCAGGGTGATTTCAGACTTTTCACATTCTGGTCCCTGCAATTTCAGTTTTAATGACTTCTGAACACTGATCCTGTCAGATTAGTACTTTAGGGAACACTGAAATTTTGTAAACACTCACAGAGTAGTGTTCTTATGGACCCAGTCAGTACAGAGTAAGCGTCTTGTGG